GCATTTGAATTTGTCTTTACTCCTAGGAGGGTGGTTAACAATGGTATTGCGGATAGGCGCTTAGGCGAGGCACTGGTTGACTCCCAATCCTCGGTTAAATTGTTTTCAGTTTGGGGTTCTCATATGAGAGGGTAATGGGCTAATGGCTCTGTCTAATTTTCAAAAAGAAAGCACCGCCCAGGGTACGTGCCGACCACTAGGTACTTTAAATGGACGATTGTTGTTGATAATGACCGTTTGTTGCCATCTCCCCGTTCGCGAACCCTTAAGTTATGCTCCCTCATTGAGGCTCTTAGTCGGGTAATAAAGCATGAGGGATGTGGGTTCCGCATTCTCAAGCAATATTTTTCAACAGTTGGTGAAATATATGTTAACCCTCGCATGTGTGCGGCGTTTTCCAGCTTCTAATGTGTAGGGGGGGGGGGTCGGTTGGACCCCCCCCCTTGCCGTTTGGCCCCTGATCGAGCTAGAGCTTCGCGGAAAAAACGAGCGTGTTGCCCGTGACGAGAGGAAGCCGATGATACCCAATTTTAAGGTCCTAGGTCATTGGTTGACCTTCCAGGTCAGGTCAATGACCCAAAGTCGGGAAAATCGGGACCTATTAGAAAGTCGTAAAGTGTGGCTGCTAAGGGGTTTTTCGGGGTGCTGATCACGAATATCGTGTTAGTTTTGATCACAGATGATGTCTTTAAGCATTTAGACCAGGTCGGGTCAGGTCAGGTCAGGTCAATCAGTAGGCGTCGTGACGGGTATTCGTAGTACGTGTCAACCGCTTCTGACAGCTTCGTAACATGTTACGAAGGCACCAAAACTACTTCGTAAATGTTCAAATGGTTGCTAAATTCGAATTCAGCTCCAAAAACTAGCCTAGAAACATGTAAAACTCGAAAAAGTGAACCGAGGTCACCCGAGGTCACCAAAGGTCAATGACCTGACCTGACCTTCAGGTGACCTTGACACCCACCATAATGCATGGGAGCAACATCAAATCACATGTTTGAACGTTTGAAACCACGAAAAGCTTGCAAACGCGCGGCTAATGCGAGCCGACGTACGCCGAATCGCGATTCTGGCCAAACATGGTCTCGGAAAAGAGGTCACAGGTCAAAGGTCATTTGGGTCAGGGTCATGAAATTTTCAGGGTAGGTGTCAAATTGATCAATGCGAGGGTACTGAAAGTTTCGTCGCGATCGGCCGCTTTTTACGCGAGTTATTCGCGAAAAACCATGGGGGGGGTCCATCCGACCCCCCCCCCCTACACATGCGAGGGTTAAAACAAACTAGCATATACGGCGGTTTAGTGTACTTTATGTCCGTCTGATGTGCCCGTCGTTGCGTTTTCGCAACGCTGATGGCGCCCGGTGTGCCCTTCGTTGCGATTTCGCAACGCACGTTTTTTACGTTTTTCTCGAAAAACTTTTGCTGCCGGCAAAAATTATTTTCGATTCCATGCAAGGCCCTGGTAGAAGCGTAACATATCTTGATTTCATCGATTTTCATGATGGTCAATATTCCTGGGCATAAATGGGTTAATTTGGTATGTCTAGGTAATCGCAGGTCTTGCATCTAAAACCCTGACTCGATCACTCTGGCGTAGTGTCATCCTCGAATGGTTCCGGGAAGCCGGGATGGAGGAATTATCTCACAAACGAAGCATATCTGGTAAAATATCTTCATCCTTCTTATGGCATATCCATCGGCAACCATGCTCATTGTTTTGTGCGTGCTGAATCATATCGGACGCTGATGCATACCACCCCATCCCTCAGTTCCCCCGGGGCTTGACTCTTTCCCTCGCGCCTCTCTCTGATCTAGGAGACTAGATCTCGTCTCCGCCTCGGGTCTCTGCTCCGTGGCCGACACAGCGCATACCAATGACCTCTGCCTGTCGACAGCGTCCGCCTCAGGGCGGCGACTGAGAGGTCCACCCGCGGCGGTTCGGCACAGCCGGCGCCGCAACGTTTCAGACGAGCATGAGAGACGTGACGTGAGATCACACCATGGCCAGCGTGCAGAACGACCTGTCACATCCGTGACGAGACTAACCTGTGACGGCCAGACTGAGAACCGAACACCCGGTGGACCTTGACCTGGGATACCGGAGCGCTGTCACTTAGTATCGATCGGCCCAGCGGGTGGCAGCCAGCCGAGCACGGCAGCCGAGAGTGGTGCTGACACGGGAAGGGACGCGAGAGAGAGAGAGAGAGAGAGAGAGAGAGAGAGAGAGAGAGAGAGAGAGAGAGAGAGAGAGAGAGAGAGAGAGAGAGAGAGAGAGAGAGAACCGAGCGTTACCATGTTGATAAACTTGTGACTTGTCTGCAAGGATAAACACAAAGAACGCCAAGAAATGTAAAAATGCGTTTACTCTTATAATGCCGACCCAATGGCCAATCATGGCCGATATCCATCAATGCATAAACAGCGCGTTTTTTTAAGAGCATTTATTACTTTCATGGCCTGCGAGACTATTACCATTTTACAAATAAAGTGGAGGGACGGTTTAATCGGCACCAGCTCACCCGTAGGTAAGTACCATAGAACCGCGACATATCGGTGTGCAATTGCCAGTGATGATATACAGGGTGATCCAAAAAAATTGGAACCCCTAACTTAAAATGTCCGCAAGTCCGAAAGTTTTCACATTATTGACAAATTGCAAACACCATTAGAAAGAGCGTTCAATTTTCTATGAAACCAAGCTGATTGAACTTACCTATTATTACAAATATTGCCCTAGTTATATGCCTATAAAATTTGTGTCACAAAACTCACTGAAACGGTTTCGAACATTATGCGCAAATCAGTGATTTGCGGTTTGCTGTTCTGACCATGTCGCATGTTGGAGGTTCATGAATAAAAATAGCTCATCCACGTGCTATTGTAAGGGATTTAAATTTCAACAGGCGCAAAAAAGTCATTCGGTGCTCCGTGCCACACGGCCCACTCAGTGGTCGAATTTGTGGGACAGGCCTGCCCGGCCTTCATCGAGCCAGATGCCTGGCCACCGAAGAGTCCTGACCTCAACCCTTTGGACTTCTTCGTGTGGAGCGAACTGGAGCGAATTATGTATAGAGGTCAGAGGATCAGCACCATAGAGGAGCTGAAGGAAAGGCTGACGGCCTGCTGGGATCAGTTGTCCCAGAGACTGCTGGCCTGCGCCGTCGGAGCCGTCCCGAAGCGACTGCAGGCCTGCGTGACGGCCAACGGAGCTCGGTTTGAGCACATGCTGTGATGAACAGCGGAAGCTAGAACGCGTGTATTTGTTCTATTGTGTGCTTCTGTGTAAACTTTTATGAAATAAAATTGAATTTGGATGTGGTGTTATTCGCAAAAAGACAACAGATAGAGTGCTAACGGACTTCAGTGCATTGTTAACAATTGGCGATTTCGTTTCACTCAGTTTTCTGACGCTCATTCCAAAAGCTAATAGTGTGTCAATGCTTTACAACATACATTAACGAATTTGACGTGATTTCATAGAGGATTTAATGCTCTTTCTAATGGTGTTTGCAATTTGTCAATAAAGTGAATACTTTCGGACTTACAGACATTTTAAGTTAGGGGTTCCAAATTTTTTGGATCACCCTGTATAGTTAATATTTTTTGGTAGCTTGATTACAAATGCTCATGTTGGCTTGTGCGTCTTGTTTGTTAGTTAGCGGAATCTCGGCAACTTTTTCGTTCCAGAATTGGTGTGTCGGAATATCAAAATGTTCGAACGTTATCATCATAGTATATGACTGTTACTGTGAAAAGAAAGTGTATTTTCACTGCTACATGTGTGCATTGCATTTCAATGCCATCGCCATGATTATCAATGTTCAAAATGATGTTGCGTAGTGTACCTATGTATTGCGCATTTCGAGACAAGAATGAGTCTAAGATTATCATCTGCGTCACTGTTTGTTGTACCTACACATCGATGTCTGTGCTGGGTTATAAAAGCAGTATCTGTTTGAGATAGCTCCTAAAACGATGGACCCTTTCCTGTAGTGCTGGTGCTCAATGTTTTAATAAATGTTACGCTATTGGTATCGTTTCACGGCTGTTACTACTTACAAAAGCTTCTGTAGATATATGCTAAAATAGGCCTATTATAAAGATTTTGAAAAGCGCAAAACGAAGTCACCCTCAGTAACACTCACTGCGCGCAATAGCGCCGGCCGGACTGAGTGACTGCGAGGGTATACTGTGCCGCCGTACACTAAGCCACTGTGAGGTATGCTGTGCCGCCGTACACTGAAGCGCTGCGGCGCAGCGTCACGTGGCGCCCGCCGGCAGCAGTGCGCGACAATACTGGCGACTGGCTCCATGCATCACTCGATGTTTTGACGCGCAGGCGCAGGCCGCATCAGCCAACAGTCCTTATTTCCATTCCAGTCCTTATTTCCAACAGTCCTTATTTTCATTCCATGCCGCTAAGAGCGGCATGGAATGATGCTCTGGGAGTGCCATGAATCTTCATGTTATGTAGCATTGGACTAAGTGTCTGTAAATACAAAGTTCTCTCTCTCTCTCTCTCTCTCTCTCTCTCTCTCTCTCTCTCTCTCTCTCTCTCTCTCTCTCTCTCTCTCTCTCTCTCTCTCTCTCTCTCTCTCTCTCTCTCTCTCTCTCTCTCTCTCTCTCTCTCTCTCTCTCTCTCTCTCTCTCTCTCTCTCTCTCTCTCTCTCTCTCTCTCTCTCTCTCTCTTCTCTCTCTCTCTCTCTCTCTCTCTCTCTCTCTCTCTTATTCTAACATAACTGGGCAAAAAAGAAACAATTAACCTGAACCTAACAGAGTTTCTAGTTTTCTACGGCCTGTTGGAGTCTGGACTCTGGAGCATGTTTCAGCATTCTCCTTCTAGCTTCGACTACATAGGTCACAAGTCACAACTCACAAAGCAACAAACGGGAGGTTTTTCAAGACCGAAACGCTGTCCCTGTGTAGTGTATGTTTTATGGATACGCACACTCATAGACAGCACATGTGAATTAAGACAGAGTTATTGCTAAACTTTTAACAATAAAAACGGAGAGGTGTATTGGTAGAGATCGTAGGATTGTTATTACCCAAGAAAGCAACGTCACATCTACTTGCACACATGTAAACACAGAACAACACTTCCGAAACGCTATTGCCGTAGAGGACAATAAGAACCATGATAGATTTAAATATAAGCTCCCTTGAAAAACTGACTATTGGCTGACTTGAAAAACTGACTTGAGAGCAATGTCTCACGAGTTACTTAAACTTATCACAGACACACGCACCTTCACAGGGCAAAGCATACAAATTATAGTGCACATGAATACTAAGAGCCTATTGCGTTGAAAGGGATGCACTCCAATAGGTATTCGTTCACTGAGTCGTATGGGCGTCAATAAAAGACCTGCGTAGTTTACAGAGACTGAACAAATATATGCGTACACAGCGTAAAAAAATAGGGCCAATGTGTCATAAAGTACATTGTGATGCTCTTCTATGATCCGCTGTTACTCTGTTCTTGTGGAGTTAGGCTCCAGTCTTTTTATAAGTTGAAGATGTACTTTTGTGCGCTTCTGCCAATCATTTTTCAAACAGGCGATGGATTGATAGGTGAGAATGGCCACAGGTCAGCTACGTTGACCGCCGTTTATGACCCGGGTAAGCTAAGCAGATCGGTCGCATGTTTCACTATCTGTATCTAGGTATAGTATGTTTAACAAAACTATACACAATGAGTAGAGTCGATGTATACAGCATGAGATGAAGACATTCAGGAGCCGTGTTGACAAATAATAGGCAATGCAAGGATAATATTTAACCGTTCACCGTTCAAGCCTAGCCTCTTTACACTATCGGCTCACCCATGCGACCTCCATCATCAATAACCTCGATACTGTCAAGGCAAAAAGCAGTAAAATAGGACTTATTCCTAGAGCGGGGCACTAATTAAATCCGACCCGTCTCTAGTTCGGCAGAACCACTTATCGACACCCAACCTTAGCCAGCACATTTCCACAGACATCGCACTTGTGTGCACGCTTTGACATGCCAATAGCACTCGTTTCCAGTCCAGTAGCACTCCAGTTCATTCTCTGAAACTTGAACAAAGTCACAAACTTTCATATGAAGGACCTTTCCTGTGCCAAATTCCCCTGCATCGTTCCTGCTGCGAAGTAGCAGTCCAAGTTCGACCTAGATGGCCAACTCCTTGGCATCTGAGTAAATGTCGGCGGCCGGCAGCAGCGCCGGCTCGACGCCGTTGGAGAGCGGCGAGTCGCCGCAGTGCGCCCTCGTCGAGTCGTCCTCGTCGGGCCAGTCGGCGGCCGCCTCTGGCGTCCAGTCGGGCGCGCCGCGCGCCGGCCCCACCACCGAGGCGTAGCTGGGCGGTCCGTCCGAGTCGGCGGCGCCGCTGCGGCCGGTGGCCGACACCCGGCGCCGCAGCGCCGGCTCCTCGGCCGGCAGCGGGTTCTCCACCACGTGCACGGCCGGCGCCGGCGGCGGCGCACGGCCGGCCGCGCCCGAGGCCCGCTCTCATAAGGGCGCCGTGTTGTTGGGCCGCTGTCGGTGGTCGCCGTCCTCCTGGGGAACCACAGAGGTGGCCGTGGCCTGGGAGCCGGCCCCCGAGGACGCCAGCAGCTTCACCTCGGTCGTGGCTGAAGCTGCAACAGACGAAAGATGCAAGCTTTCAATAAAACATTTTAAACTAACAGAAAAGACGAAGCACGCAAAGTATGTAGGGGAGAGTGGGGTAATTTGGCCGCTTTTTTTAGAAAACGATGTAACTAAAAATCGACAACACATTTCTGCATTTTCTCAACGCGGACAGGTGTGGCATACATTTTACTTTCTTAGACAGTAAACTTGAAATGATTGAGTAACTACTTATATTGAAATTGTGGCGGATTACAAAGGTCTGCAAAGCGGCCAAATTGCCCCACTAGCAGGGTTATTTGGCCGGGGGTGTGGGGCAATTTGGCCGGTGTTAGTTTGAGGCCATTATTTTTGTTATAGGCGAGTCAGCTTCACATTCAGCAATGACGCGTGTCCTACGACGCATTTGAAGCATTTTGGAGGTTGACTCACCCGTCACAGGGGTCGAAAATAGTCAAAATAGCGGCTCTAGATGCGATGACAGTTTTTTACGAATAACTTTTGAAGTAATCAAGTTAGGCCAAAACTAAAAACACCATCGTAATTCTCTCGTCATTCCGCATCGAAACATGTATGTGTTGACCTCGAGAGGTCAAGGTCAAGGTCAAGGTCAAGGTTGGCTTCAGGTCTCGTTACCTCAGGTCGCTTGACCTCAAGGTTACGTGAGTTCAAGGTCATCATGTATATCATTCGATGCGCCTTGACGAACTGAACACAATGAGACCATTTGCGCGGCTGTATCTTTTTTCTGTAAGTATTTATTAGCAAAAAAGCGTTAGGTAACCTTTGATGACGTCACATGCCCTTACAGCTGTCCAATAGGAAATATGGCATCAAGGTAGTCAAAGTTGGTCATGAATTATGTCCTTTATGGTATAATTGACCATGACAACTCGGCCGTCCCAGCATAGTGACTCTGAGCGCACCGGCCAAGTTACCCCGCTAGTCCCGGCCAAATAACCCCACATTGCCATTCTGAAATTTTTTGTCTATAAAGTTGTCATGGCTGTACAGAACTAGATGAAATTGCTCTTGGAGCCGCTGAACACCCTCAAAAATGGCGCTATAATGTTTTAATTCGTTTACAGCCCAAATACTACACGTTGGCCGTTTTCACGACGGAATAGCAGGCATCTATTTAATCCCCATTTGATCCTTTGGTTCCTCAGGAATTTTAGTAGTTCTTTTTAGTAGTTTTCCCAGCTTTCGAATGAATGGTGCGTTAGTTTGCTATTTTTCTATTAAATATCACATCGATTTGCTTTATCTAAGGATTTACCACTAATATCAACATAAAGCGTAAGCACAATTATAAAATTATGAAATTATTAAATACTAGTACAATAGTTTAAAAAAGATACTGAGTTGCCACGCTACAAAGAATATATTCATTTATGGCGCACGACAGACATTTAGAAAGCAGCGCCCTGTTTTATTGCACGCTGCTAGCCGCTTCTATTGGGTTTTGCAGGCCGACGTCATTGGTTGTTACACATATGATGTCACGCGACTTGTGGCCTATCACGGCTGTTTAATGATCTCCACTAAATGAATGCAACAATGGCCTTTTAAGTTGATCTCTGTGGCCATCTGTCTATGGAGCGACCAATATGAAAGTTGGGTGAATTTACCGGGGTTACATGACTATCAGCAAGCAAATGTGTATCAGGAATGGATTTAGGTGGAGAATTGCGCTGGACCATGAGTGCTCGAGCGCTCCCAATTCCACGCCGGTTTGGCTTTGGAGCCGAGACAGACGATGCGGGTCAAGGTCACCGCTGCGGTAACGGTGGATTGGCTGCGCCCGAGCACCCGTAACGCGGCACAACTCTCCATCTATGGATTTTCCTATTCGCTCAGCATTGTGATAGGCGTTCGTAATAGCATTTACTCTGCTCATGTACCTATCCCCGGTTATTTAAAAGAAGTTTTTGTGGGGGAATTTCACGGCTTTAGGTACTCGGTGGCCCTATTCACGACTTTCAAAGAATGCTCCGATAACTAAACACCGCACAGACCTACTGCATTAGTGAATCTGACAGAAGGTCTGTGGAATTACATCCCCCCTCACCACACCCCTAAAAACTCATCCAGTGTCCAAAACCACTTTTATCGACTCGCCAAAAAAAAAACGCACACACACACACACACACACACATACACACACAAAGCATGGGGCATGTCAGCTCTCAGTTCATTTATCATTGTCTTTAGGGGAGAGCGGGGCCAGTTGAAACACGGGGTCAGATGAAACATGGCTTTATTTTCAACAGTATGCAACATATGGCGTTGCCGACACCACTGCGCATCCGCGCTCGACCACTTCCTTTGTCAACGGCGTTTGGGCGGCAAACGGACGGTAATTTTGATTTGACACTTGTTTTTGTGTTTTTGAGGGGCGTTTGGGAGAAATCGTTTTTATGAATATTTTGTGATATCTCATATACCTTTGTTTGCTGAAAGAAGAACTCCTGGCTCCGGAATAACACCTTATTTGGCCCTTCATTCAGCATGATGCCGTCCCTCCAGCTCGTTTGACATGTGCTTTACGGCGCGTGCGAGATGGCGGGAGCGGATGGGGTCAATTGAAACGCTTCTCTGAGGGTCAGTTGAAACAGGGCCACAGGCCGTTTCAATGGACCCCGGTGACCTTTGCAATGGTTATTGTTCAGGGGCTGTAAACATTAAAGGAAATAGTCCACCTTTGAAATGAGCTTTTAAACTGAAATAGTAGTTTAATAGAGCTCAATTTTTGACCCCTTTTTCTCCAGCCTTTTGCTTGAAAGCACACTATATCCTGAGATATTTCTCATTTTCATCATCCGCCCGTTTTACCATAGTCTATGTACTTTATGTCACCTATTATGAGGAACTTTGCACTTTTAGCTTTCCAACGACCTATTGAATGTAGCATTTGGAAAAGTAGACCGGACAAAATAACTCCTTAAGAAAGTGGCCTTAAAGAGGAAAACATCCCATTGTTAAGGATAGGTGCAATTGACCCCATGGACTGGTTCAATTGACCCTCGCATCGGGGTCATTTGAAACGGGCGTAGAGCTGTTTTATAAGCATGCGTTTGGCAGCAAAATATGTTTGAAACATAATTTTACATATCTTAAAATAAAGCCAAAAGAGCATATTTTTTCATGGCATTGTGCATTTTTCGATATGACAACTAGATCTCGCTGTGCATGTCAATATATAAAAAGTGGTTCATCTGGCCCCGCTCTCCCCTACCATGGTTCAATTGCATTGCGCGATTTAAAGCACGTGAGTGCCTATATAGTATATATGTAGAAAATAATATCTACAGCAAAACATCCAAAATTACAAAGGCTACAATGCTTAAAAAGTAGGTTCATCAAGGAAGCCCATTTTTACTTGCGTTGTGTTCCCAACCATGCGATTCCAACGCGGGCTATTCGCAACGTCTGTTAAGGCACGTTAACAACTGACAAGCCGCCACCGCTGCCACTTATTCATAGATGGTTGATATCGCAGCTTGGGCGTCAGCAGCGCGGCCCACAACGCGTCGGCGCCAGCGCACGCAGCTGTTGGCACTCGGCAGCCGGTGTTGCGACTTAACGGCCGGCCGGCCCCATGAAGGAGAAGCTCTTGGTGAAGCTTTGTGATCGCCTCATAGCCGCCTTGGATGTCATCTTTCTTGGCAGATCCATCCGTTCAGATGGTACGGTGCAGTCTGGATAAAGGACGAAGTCCAACGCCGCTAACCCCGCGACCGCCACCCCACAACGTGGCCGCAGACCGAACGGGCGTGAGGGCCGTAAGGGCCACCCCGCCATCCGGTAGGTGGCTGAGCAGCCGGGCGCAGCGGCGCCTGGGCGGCGGCCGCGCTGAGATGAAGTCCCAAACCGCCATGTCGCCATCACCGCCATCACCATTGCTGCAGCTGTTCCCAACCGCCTCAATCGCCGCCGTTTTGCCAGCAGTCGCGCCGCGGAATGGCAGAAGCTCCAGAGTAGCCTCCAGCGCCCCTCTCCGCACGTGTGCAGGTGCACTGCGGCCGCCGGGTCCGACGTCCAGGCAGAACATGATATTTCCATGCTGCTCCGACGGTGGGTTGGTCTTGTTTGGGCGTTCCTCCACTGTGACGTCGGTCACGCCTGCCCCGGCCAGGGCGCAGAGGCCGACGTGTCACCATCCGGGTGCAGTCCTCAGTCGGGTCGCAACGTGTACCTCTTCCGCAGCGTGGAGCTCGCTCCCGCTGGGCAGCGATACAGCCAAAAGTAGCATAGCATGCGGGCGGCCAGCGCTGCGCCGGACAGCGAACCCATGCCGGGGGTATGCCGGTCTCGGCCATTAGCGGGGTCGTCGGGGCCGAGGCTGTACATACAGCTGGTGACCGCGTGAGCCGCCAATCGAAGCTCACGGCTTATAAGCTCGACGCGGGCATCACACGCCGTCCCGATGGAAGCTCCACGACGCCGCCGCGAACTCCAGCGCGGCTCGCAGCGCGAAGACCAGTACGGACGGCCGGGGCAAACGGCGTGCGGGAGTCGCAGGCGACGTTCTGCGGACAGAAAGGGTTGGGCATAAGCTGGTCGGCAGGACACTCTTGAGCCGAGCCTTTGATGTAATTACAGATGATCCAGAAGCATGCACAAAAATTCATGACACACTATTCTCATTTATGTATTTGCTACATATGATATGATATACCAGCTCATGATCAGTGACGCATTCTGGGCAATATGTTCTAAAGTGAAGTAACTGAAGTTACAGCTTAAAAGCTTAAAAAAAACAGCTTAAAAAAACACACACATTCGATAGCTTATGAGAATAACATGCCTTGTGTGCTTAATGCAGGAAAATATTTTTTCACTTTTTTAGAAACAGCAAAAGAGTTGTCAACAAGCCATGTCAACTATCTAAACAATTTTTATGGAAACTGCTCTAGCTAGCTTAAAGTTCCACAACGTTTCCGGAGCACCGTACCCAAACTCAGTTCATGTTACAACTTACAAGAAAAAACAGTAATAATGCCTC